TTCCTGGCTCAGGAGTTTGTCTAGTTACTGCAGTTGAGAGAAGCTGTCAGTAAGCATTTCTAGCTAGCACTCATATTACAACATGTACTGCTCAGTGACCCAAGTTCTAAAAGGGGATTCATTATTAATCACAAAAGGAAGTACATTTGCCAATTCATAAATGCCAAGGACTGCTAGCTTGTTTTTAACAGCTTTCCTCCTGTGGAGATTACATGGCTGAGGGCTCAAATTTGCTAAGCCCACACATTTGTTGGGAAGTACTACATGTGACCTGGTATGCAGAGTACTGTAGCTAAATGAATAAAACATGATATTTTGGTGGAAATAAAACTTCCGTCCCTTATGTGTTTCTTATTTGTTATGAATATGAGAACCTTTTTGAGGCAAGTATTATTTCTTTCAATGTTTGCTCTGAAATACCTTGCCTGCTACTAGTAATAAAGAAATGGAAATCACAAGCAGGCACTTAACTTATTGTCAAGGATCATACTTTATAATAGCCCTAAATTTCTATCATCATAATATAAAAATCAAACGCTTTGCGCCTGATTATTATTTACACTGAGGCCCCTTTACAGCAGTCTGGGAGTGTAAAGGGATTTTAAAGTGGGGGTAAATGTACACTGCCAGAGTGGTAAAACATGGCCTTATTGTGAATGAGAATCAGGCTCTTTGGGTTTGTGATATTCATTTGACTGCTTTAAGCATCTGCATTCAGATTGGTCTGGTAAAGGTCAAGTGTCTGATGTCTCTAAGCCAAACAAAATTCTGTTCTTGTGTTAAAGTGTATATATAGGAGCTAACTATGCTTTTTTTTTATTTTGACTTCTATATTGTGTTTGCCAGCTGCTTTGCTTCCATATTAGCATTGTCAGTTAAAGTGTTTATTCCAAGTCTGCTGACAAACAAACCTTTAGGGATTCAGATACAGAGTCTTTATCTAACTACTCTATCTAAATACTAGTGTTAGTATTTTCTGCCCAAAGGAAAAGCCAATATCACACCAAGAGAGGGACAAGTTGACCACAAGACCCTGGGGAGCCAGTGAAAACTTCTGAAGAACCAAAGTCCCCAGCACACAAATCCTGAAGGTCTAGCTTAGAGTCAGGACCAGACGAGAGGGTAGTATGATGCACTATAGCCCGTGTAACAGAGGGGACTAGCAGCCAAAATCCAATAGAAAAAATATCCTGGACAATCCTGAAAAAATTTCTAGTTTAATACGCTGCAACAGAGAAATGTACTAATCCTTAGCTAAACTTAATAGTGGCCATTGATTGTTCACAGAGAAACCCCTTAGAATATACACAACACTTTTATGAAGTTTCACTATCCTGATCAAAAAAATATAGTTCACTGAAGTATGGTATTTACTGAATAAAGTAGCTTTATGAGAAAAGTGTATTAGCTTACAAAGCAGTTTGAAATGAAAATGTCGGCAGAAGCTGGAACAGACCATATGAACAGAAGTGTAGCATCATGCATCAAATGTTAGAGTGGCACAGCAGGGACCTGAATTCTAGTTTCTGGCCTGCTGGGTTCCCTTGGGCAGTATCCCCTCTGTAAAATGGGGATGCTGATACTGTACTGATCTCCTTTGTAAAGCACTTTGAAATCTACTGATGAAAAGAGTTCGGTGTTAGATATTATAGATGATATTTGGTTAATGTTCATTAAAAATCGCAGACGTTTAACAACTGAGTATGTAATGTAGCTTCATTAAAAGGAAGGTATCCACTCTGGAGGGTGAGAAAGATATTGAAATAAAAAGGCCTGTCCTTCGTAGGTCAGTAATGTAAAAAGTTGGTCTGTTATCTTACACCAGTATATTGTCTTTGATATACCCACTGCCATCAATGGAAATTCCACTGGGGATCAAAGACCATAATATGGTTTGCAGTGTGATGATTAATAGTGCTGGTAATTATCAGTAAAGGTTACCTGGTGCCCAATAAATGTTATCTAGTGAAAGAAATATATTATTTTGTTACAATAGGTAATCAGTAGATAAAATAACACCCACACATGAACTAAGCGTGGTGAATACGGAAATAGAACCTAAACAAAATCTATCATCTTCATCATTGATAATTAATTTATTTCTATTGTGTGAGTGAGTAAGGACCCAAACAGGGATTAGGACCCATTGCACTAGGCACTTTGCAAACACAATTACACAGAAGCAGTCCCTGCCCCAGAGAGTTTATAATCTAAAATTTAGACAATATGTGGCAGGTGAATAAGAAATCAAATAGGAGAGGAAGTAGGAGAGAAAGAGATGGGAGGACAAGATTGTAGCAGACACAGGTGTGCTTGTATAACTCAGTTGTAACAGTGTTTTCAGTAGTCCCTGGTACTTGCCAGCCTAGCCTTATATTTCACATACCATCATAATTACCATATGACATACAGGCGCTATATAGAAAAGAACAAACAACCAGCAACAACAGGACTGAAAAGCTAAAGACTGAACAGCAGCTTTAGCCATCTTTTGAAGAAAACATGAATGCAGTTACAACTGAATCAAACAGAACAAAGCGCAAATAATTATGAAAAGTATAAATATTTAAATATAAATATTTCTCTTCACCAACAAGCTATTTCACATCCTACCAAAACTGTAGCATTTCATGGAATATGGAATCAATCCCAAAACTGTTATGAACACAAATTTAGTTTCAAGTTCTTGTTCTCATGTTTTCAGGAACTGGCTAGTACATTTCTCCTTATGCTGTTGAGCACTTCTCTTTCACCTCTCCTATTTCTCTTACACTACTCAGCAGCCTGATACAAAGAGGCACTCTCCCTTTCATAGAAGACTACCAGAAGGAGATAACATAGGCACATAACCTGTTATCAAAGGCTGCATATTTGTAGGCTTCCATTTGGGCCCCAAAAATGAACTGATGGCATCTGGCCAAGCAGCAATAGAAACTAAATGGTAGATATGGTAAGGTGATTTATCAGAGCAGGGGCTGAAAAGGGGAAGCTATTATATGCATCACTGTTGGTAGCACTCTGATAATTATTGCAAAGTCGTCTCAAAGGAACAATAATTTGTAAATACTTATAGCTTTGTTTTTGTTATTATTTATTATGTGTCTGTTATGCTGAAAACCAGAGCTCTGTGAAACCAGCTCTTTGAGGTTTGCATGATATGAGGAAACACCAATGGGTGGATCCAGTCATCAAGCTTCACACTTCCTGAAGTGCATTTTGTGTTTCAGGTTTGCAGAGACCCAGTGCTTAATTTGTAATGAAAGAGTTGCTGGAGCTCAAGCAATTTTTTTACATTCATAACTGATGCAGCAAACCCAGAGGTGTTGGGGCTATGAACGGTCAAGCCTAGAGGTGCCGGGGCTCAGCCCTGACAAGCCCTGGCACAAATTAAGCACTGCAGAGACCCCAAACCAACCTCACACCAAACCCTCTAAGTTTTGCATGGTTTATACTGAAACTGGTGAATTACAGCACCCTCCTCCTATGACCATAATTCCCCCTACTCCTTACATTGTGCTATTTTCTGAAGGAAAGGTGGTGCTCCATGGCCAGCAGCCTCTCCCCTTTAGGTGGTGGCTATCTGCATCTTTGGAATGTGCATAGCTAGCCCTACCCCTTGTTGTAGGGATTCCCCATTTCATATGGTGTTTTCTGATGAAAATATACTCCAGAGTGAGGTAAAGTGTCTTCAGTGTGACAGCAGTGGATCTGAGGAACAGGGGATCCAATGGTGAATGAACGGACAGGATTGACTGCCAATTCACCTGCATTTTATGGATTAGATTCCCACTCAGCCCCCCCCCCCCCAAAAAACCCCAAAAACCGTGGTAGAGGGGGACGGGCCCGGCCCCAGCTTTTTTGCGGCCCCAAGTGGCGAAGAAAAAAAAAAAAAAAGATAAAACAGCAATTGGCAGCATTTCGGCGGCAGCTCTACTGCGCCGCTTCATTCTTCAGTCCGAGAGGGACTGAGGGACCCGCCGCCGAATTGCCGCCGAAGACCCGGACGTGCCGCCCCTTTCCATTGGCTGCCCCAGTCACCTGCTTCCTTTGCTGGTACCTGGAGCCGGCCCTGGATGGGGAGCAGGTCAGCCAACCAGCTATTTTCTGAAGATCTGATGGAGTGTGGAAAAGTCTGGTGGCCTTTTGCTCACCAGCAGAGACCACCAGGTAGGGATGGGCTTGGAACTGCCTGGATTAAGCAGGGTGCATGAAGGATATGAAGGGACTTGGTATCTATTGGGAGGGTGGATATAATTAGAACAGCATTCTCAGTCAGCTCAAGTCTTCTTTGATGTTTCCTAAAGCCTGAACAGTGGTTTGGATTCATACTAAAACCCAGGATCTGGTAAAATTGCTCACTTTCAGGTTTTGATGTGAAATGTTCCCACAGCCCAAATGAACACTATGTACAACAGCTACTACAGTAGAAACATATATTTTCATCTTATGGCACCTTAATGCATGAATCTGGGCTTTTATTGTTCTTGTTGTTGTTGTTGAAGTGTAATCCAAATTAACAATATAAACATATAGCCATAACTTCATTCCAGCCTCTCCCTTTTTTATGTTCAGAAATTAACATTTTTTCAGTCTGGCAGCACAGTAGCCCTGTACTTCACTTTCATGTGGGAGATCTGAAGTCAGGAGTGATTGTTGGACAAATCTGCCTTTGACTTCAAGGAAGTTGCACCCATTTACATCGAGGACATGAGTGGTGTACATCCAATCATTTTGTGAAATAGCCTACTTATGAAAAAGAAACGTCCATTACCCCTAACTGGCTATAGAGAAGATTCTAAAATACAGTTTAAAGGAACAGAGGAACACAGGGGGAAATCTGTACTAAAATACAAGATATTGTTTTAGCTCCCTTGCTTAAGAGAAAAATGGGAATTTTCTTGTTGCTGCCAATTATAAAAAATAATATATGTTTTTTAAACAAAAGCTCAAATGCTCTAACTTCTCATTAATGATAACTATGTAATCAACCTGCTACTTACAGTTAGATGAAGTTGATTTGTCCAGTGACCAATTACTTTGTATTCTGCACTTTTGTTGGTCATTTGATACTGAAATATATCATAGCGCCCAGGTGCATCTCCATTTTCATTGAAAATAACAGGCGTTCCAGCACTCCCTACAAAAACGTTGAACAACAATTGAAATAAAGTTCCCCCAAAAACATTCTCATAAATCTATTTTAGCTTCTATTTTTTTTCTTTTAACGTGTTCTGGAAAAAATGAGACAATATGATATGATCACATCAAGCAAGTTTTCATGCAATGTTGCCAGCATTATAATAAACCTAAAAAGCTTGTAAAGAAAAGGCCATTGTGCGATGTTATTACTTGCATCACAATACAAACTGTCCGTCAGTACCAGCTAACCTATGTAAAATTAATCAAACCAAATTACAAAGATAATTGTTCAGTTAAATGTTTAACACTGATTAACATTAGATGGCTATTATAAGAAGCAGGGATAAAATCCTGGCCCTGTTGAAGTCAATGGCAAAACTCACACTGACTTCAATGGGAGTCAAAACTTCACCTCAGGACTAGCGTACAGTGTAAGAAAAGTGCAGGCAAGAGTCAGGCTGTGTCTGGTCAGCTGAGAGTTCCCCAGACATAGGGGAGTTCTCAGCTAAAGCTTGCATAGCCTGGTCTTGCACCACACACCCCAAGACCCAGCATATGGGGCATGCAAACAGCAGCAAAGGATTTTGCTGGAGTGCTACTGGTCTCTTGCTGGTCTCAGCTAGTGAACAGTCACTTTGGGACAATTGCCAACTGGCATAGTTAAAGAACCTTAATTAAGTCAATAGAGCTAAACCAGCATAGAACGGGTGTAACTCAGTGATGAATTAAGCCCAGAGTTTCTCAGCAATTACAATTGTCAGGAGTGGTGTACTGATGTGATGGGCTGGATCACAGAAACCCCCTTGGGAGCTGCCACCCGATGTGCCAAGACTACCCCTGCTTTTGTTTTCCCTGCCAGCTCAGGATTCCAGCACCCTGTCTTGCTGAGCCAGCCACTCCTGTCCGGCTCCAACACAGGCCCAGGGTCTGAATCACTTGTCCCGAAGCTGCAAGTTTACCTAAAAACAGCTCACAGGAGTGTGCTTTTTAGCACACAGATGCCCAACTCCCAATGGGGTCTAAACCCAGATAAATCCGTTTTACCCTGCATAAAGCTTATGCAGGGCAAACTCATAAGTTGTTCGCCCTCTATAACACAGATAGAGAGATATGCACAGTTGTTTGCTCCCCCAGGTATTAATACATACTCTGAGTAAATTACTAAATAAAAAGTGATTTTATTAAATACAGACAGTAGGATTTAAGTGGTTCAAAGTAATAACAGACAGAACAAAGTAAGTCACAAGCAAAATAAAATAAAATGCGCAAATCTATGCCTAATCAAACTAAATACAGATAATCTCACCCTCAGAGATGCTTCAGTAAGTTTTTCTCAGACTGGACACCTTCCAGGCCTGGGCACAATTCTTTCCCCTGGTACAGCTCTTGTTCCAGCTTAGGTGTTATCTAGGGGATTCTCCATGATGGCTCCTCTCTCCCTCTCTTCTCTTCCACCCCTTTATATATCTTTTGCATAAGGCGGGAACCCTTTGTCTCTCTGGGTTTCCACCCCCCCTCACTGGAAAAGCACCAGGTTAAAGATGGATTCCAGTTCAGGTGACATGATCACATGTCACTGCAAGACTTCATTACTCACTTGCCAGCACACACATATACAGGGAGACTCACAGGTAAACAGCCATCTGCAGACAATGGGAGTCATTAAGATTCCAAACCATCATTAATGGCCCACACTTTACATAATTACAATAGGCCCTCAGAGTTACATTTTATATTTCTAGTTTTAGATACAAGAGTGGTACATTTATACAAATCAGATGATCATACTTAGTAGATTATGCACTTTGTAATGATACCTTACAAGAGACCTTTTGCACGAAGCATATCCCAGTTGCATTATATTCACTTATTGTCAAATTTTTATAAAACTATCCCAGTTACATTATATTGAATTATTATCAAGTTTTTATAAAACCATATAGACTGCACAACGTCACAGTCAGGAGTGGTGTACTGAAGGTGTGGCGAATTCCAACTCCCTCTACCCTGAAAATTAGAAAATGAGAGACAGGGCCAGCTCTGGCTTTTTTGCCGCCCCAAGCAAAAAAAAAAAAAAAAAACCGGGGGGGGGGCCGGGGGGG